CAACAGTCCATTCCCACACCTCCCGTATTTTCTCTTCCTCAGTCCTTTTTTTTTTTTACACTCTATTTCAGTCTCCCAAATTACAATCATTCCCTCCAAATCATTGTCCGGGGGCTTTTCATTCTGCCCATCTTGTCATCACTCTACCTAATCATCATCATCCTATTTCTCCCACTGTGGCCTTCCTTCCATTGTACCTTCATTGCTGGTTGCCGCTCATCCTTACTGTTAATCCTGCCTGCTGCTTTTCCATGTGACAGAGGCGCTAGGCAGACCGCTCTGCACACACACACACACACCGTTAACTATGACGAACACGCCAGGGACGAACAGTCAATGACTGGTGTGTTGCCAGGTAATGATCTTTAATTACAGGCAGCCTAATGCACACAGGCCAGCTAACGAGCTGTGTGCTATCTGTAACCTTTCTCAAAGACTCACTGGGGGACATTGGCGCGTCAACACATTTTTGACTGCACACTTGTTCGACTCGTAAATGTCGCTGTCCTCTTCACGTCTCCTTTAATGCCGTTCACAGCGCATTTCATGCACAGTGTATGCTCAGGAAAAAGAAAAAGAAGAAACAATCATGCTCTTCATCCAAAGGCTGAAAAGTTTCCCGAATGTGATGATTTTTGCTCTTGATCTTTGCTCCTTTTTTTAATATGGAAAGGTATTGCCTTGGAAGCTTGCAAAGTTTTTTGGGGAATTATAACAAATGACAGAAGAATCTTAAAAGAAAAATGAGCTATTTTAATGCTGTAATTAAATTAATGATTAAACTACTCATTTATTATATTTCATGTAGAACAAATAATTTTTCCCAAATCATTGACCTCAGCCTCAGATGTTCAACTTATTGATGGAAGAAAAAAAAGAGAAAATCTTAGCAAGTAGTCATCGTTAGTCATAACATGCAGGAAACTGCCAAGCCAGCGAGATGTGGTGTGATTTCATGACGGCTGTGGAAGTGTTTGTTTGATCTTGCTAACTCCAACTTGTCGTGTCAATCACTGCGCGGAGAAAAAAAAAAGGCCTTTCGCTCTCTTGCTATTTTTCTGAGTCCGCATGACTGCTCTCTCCTTAAAGTGATCAAATGCTGCAAACTTCATAAGAACGGGGAGGGAGGGAGGGAGAGATGAGGGGAAAGGCTCATCTGCGTCTCATTTAGCAGCGGCAAGCGCAAGTGGACCGAATGATCTGACAAGAAAATATGAATTCCTCTCCAACTATTACCAGACAGAAAAAAGAAACACTCCGTATTGGAGTTAGATTCACACAGAACGCCACCCAATCAGACATTTAATAAACCACCAGGGCTCCATCTTCAAATTCCTGATGATATTCTCGAACCATTCAGAGCGGCGATTTGTCTGCTTTGTTTCGAGGTTTCGGTGTCTGCAAACCGAGTGTCAGTAGCTGTTTTAAAAGGCGGTGAGACATTTAAAAGTTTAAAGACACATTTTACAACGCGGCTGTCAGAGCAAGCAGACAAGAAGCTCTCAATGTTTTTAAAGGCTTGGACGGCGGCGGACTGGAGACTGATAGACTTCAATTTAGGAGAAGCACAACGTGTTTCAAGTTCTATAGACGTACATAAAATACTAATCTTTATACGAGTCGACCATTTCTTTCCAATCTCTTTAATAGCTGGTAATGTAGATGAGTTCATTGTCACCTCGATGTTGGCAGGTGGTTCAGCTTTAACAGTCAGGACAAAAAAGGCACCGCCGCAGTCTAGACTTCTTTTTCTCCCTCTGCCTCAGTCTGTCTGCCCACCAACTTCTAACAACTTCAACAGAGCAGAGGAGGAGGAGAGAGATGAGTAAAAGCTCATCTGCATCATTTGAAGCAGCAAATGTAAATGGAGCAAACTGTCCTACATCAAGAAATGTGAACTCTTTTCTGCAGATGGAATAAAGCCCCTCGCTCTTTTCCAATATTGGACACGGAAGGTTTTCCAATAGACTATCGCGGAGAGGTGTGAAGATCAACCGCTACCTTTTTGGAAAAATCAATACAAGAGTGCAGGCTGTTACACCGTCAATGCACAGATCAAAACTCTCAAAATTGCCAAGGAGGGTGGTGAAAAGAATCCACCGTGCGCTGCACTACCGAACTGTTGACATGAGAAACGCAGCATGCAAAATGCATCAAAAGCGTTTAACCTTTACAGTGGCTTCGCCGACTGGCTCCTTTAGGAGAACGGCATGCGGCGAGAACAATAAAGCGCTGTCAGAGACGTGCCTGCAGGAGCAGTCAACCCAAAGCAAGCGAACAACAAAGCTTGAATTGCCAACTAACCCCACTTGCCCCCAACTCTTCCTGGTCAAAGGAAATAAGCGAAGCGATAAGCTGTTTCGTTTCATTTACAAGGACATGCACACGTTGGGTATTTATAAAGGACTAGATTTCAAAGCATGAATGTGACCCTGAATTGGAGGTAAACAATATCCAGATGTCAACAGTTAAGTGAAAAATGCATTCCTTTGGGGACAGTCCAGAATGTTTCCCTTTTTGTCACTGCTTATTGACGACGGAACCAATGTCATACGTCAGGGTTCGTTCACAGGTCTCGCGCAACACTACTACTTTGTAAAAAAGTTCTACGGGGCCTTCAGTGGCTGTGCCGCCCTGTAAATTGCCTCAAGTGATGTCACCTGAGTCGGAGTCCGGCTGAGGGGCTGAGGACTAGTTTGAAAATGGAAATAATCTGGGGGTGTGCAGGTAGAAAGAAACAACCTCTGCAGACCACTCTTCACGTCTACTTGGTGCTTAAAGGGACGTTGGTCTCGATCATTATCGCACAGCCTGCAGTCAAGTGGACTTGTGGGTAATGTAAGTGCCAAAATGTGTCAGGGAAAAGGAATCATTGTCGCTGTGACGGCTGTGTGAGAATGTTGGTTGAGGAGGTTGCTCCTGTCATCAGTGTATGAATGGGTGAATGATGACATGAAGGGGTAATGCGCTTTGAGGGGTCTGAACACTAGACGAGTGACACGTCGAAGCAGAATTGAAATGCACTGACTGTGTGATGACTGGATTGGCCAATTGGGGCGCCACGGTCTGGTGTCTCATCGCAACCCCTCCCCACCCACCCCCCATCACAGCACGTGTTCAGTAAATGGCTGTTTTTCTCTTTAAATTCCTCTTGACTCGCTCCGCTAAAGAAGCCGTGTGAGTTGTCGGTTAAAGCAGCGAGGAGAGACGCCGCTCTACATCTCTGCAATGTGTTTTTCAGCCGAGATGAAGGCGTACATCAAGAAGCTAAAGGGGCTTCAAAGGGAGGGGCAGCTAGGTGTCACGGGGCGGGCAGAGTGAGCAGAAGCTCCTTGATCATGTTCCCCACTAAAGGCCCAAGGGGTCTGTTAGCGGAGGACACAAGCTCACGTTGAAGTGTGCGATTTATAATCACTTGGTGTGATAACACCTCCCATGTTGCCCCCGCAGACGGAAGTGCAAACAAGATATTCAAATGTAAATTGCCGATGCCACATTGGATCATTCTCTCAGCATCAGGACCCAAGAGCGTGTTACATGTGAAGGAAATGCGAGAGTTTGGACCGATCGGGCACAAAGACACACGCAGGGGGGGGTAGATGACAGGTTTTAAGAGGGAGGAGAGAGGAACCGGACGGGATCGGGCAGCGCAGGATTGTCAGTGGGGAATAATTGTCACCTCCAAAGATTGAGACTGCAACAACAGGATGAGAGAGCAAAAGGGGGGAGATAATGAGAGCAGACTTCAGCTGTGGTAACTGTTCCGTCACAGCAAGAACGCAACGCACACTACTCACTTCATACTTTTAAAATCCTCCTCTGACTCTTGTTTGACTCACGTGTGAGTGTTGAAGGGGGGGAGAGAGAGAGAAAGAGCGAGAGACTGTTGGATTTCTTTGTTTAATTTTGGCAGTGGGTTCCTTCTTCTCTGCTCTCTTTCCTCCCTTTATCCTTATTTATTTGTCAGAGGTTGTGTTCAGGGACATTCCTTGTCATCCGTCAGCGCGGCCCATAAAACACACTGTCATGACTGACTGGCCACGCTCCAAACTCATTACCGATTGGCTGACGGAGCGGGTCGCTCTGTTCTGCTCTGCTGTGTTTGACTCCTGTTTGCCAGACATTCCAGGCTCAGGAAATTTTAAATGCGGCGGTGTCTTTCCCCGCGTCACTCCTCGCAGCCTCACGCTCAAGGTCACATGAATATGGATTTACCCTCTTCTTCCAGCACACATACTGATGATGAAGTCTAAGATCTACTCAGAGGGATTATAATGCAGGACGTAGGTCTGATCCGGCCGTCACTGTGCTCCACTGACTGTCTGGGGTTGAGCTTTTAGTCTGAAACTAGAGGAGAGGGGGAGGAGGGAAGGGGGGGCTGAGAGAAATAAGAAAGATGAAGAGCACTGCTGTGGGAGCAGAGAGCTGAGATGAAGCACGGAAGGAAGGAGAATGGATGATAATGGGGAGGGATCAGTGCGAGTGGGAGGGTGTCGTGTAGGAGAAAGGGGAAAGAGAACGGGAGATTGGAAAAGGGCAACGCGCAAATTTATTGAGTTTCTGAGCCGGTTGATCAGCCATATTCGTTTCATCATATCGAGCTTGCGGTCTGCTGCAGGAAACGTGTACTGGGTACACGGTATTTACTTTCTAGGTGTGTGTGTGTGTGTGTGTGTGTGTGTTCAATATAACAGTGTGCGCAGTAAGCTCATGCGGATACGTGTACCTTCGCTTTGTTGTGCATGTGCCTGTGTGTGCATTATCTCCTGATGCTTCTTGTACTTGGGGTGTCTGGATTGGTGGGTAGTGTGCCTGCACGTATGTATCTGACAATTGTAATAGCGTCTTTTTATTTCCTGCAGATTGACAGCGAGGATGTGTTTTTTTTCTAATTCAGCCTGTGATTCACCGCTGTGCTTTTTTTTTTTACCTAAAGGAGTCTCCGCTTCTTGCTCCCCTCCCTCATGATAACTCATTGCATTTTGTTTTTCCACTCACAGAAAACAACAAGGCACCTTTGCAAAGGTCTCGCTCTCGGCAGAATATAAATGCAGGTTCAGCGCCGGTGAAAGCGCCCCACGCCAGGGAGGCCCATAACGAGTCCGAGGGCCATCCATCCGCGGCCCGGGCCAAGGCCGCTGTGTGTTCGGAGTCCGGCCGCAGGTACAAGAACACGCAGGGTGCCGGCCTCTGGCTGGACAGAGAGAGGGTGGTGGAGAGAGCGAGGGTCAAGCCGCCTGAGAAGCAGACGGAGGTCCAAGCGGAGGCTCCGGCCTCCCAGACGTCCTCCTCCGGCGCTGACGGGGAGTCCGATCTAGAGGCTCTGCTGGCCAGACTCAGGGCCTTGTGAAGTCAGTCCAGTTTGTTTGCTCCAACACACATTAGCACACTCCAATGGTGACCAAAGACATTCTGCTGCTACGGTTCTGTAAACCAGCAGGAAATGTCCTCACTAAGACAACGTTTCGATTTGTGAGGCACAAAGGACCATTTGTCCTTTGTGCCTAAATAACCACAAAGGTTTTTAAAATGGCTTAATAGTAGGTGATTTGTATGAATCCTAAAAGAGGATCAATGTAGGTTGAGGACAGCTGGTCACATAATGTTGTCAGAGATTTGTAATATATTTACAAAAGATGTGATTCGATGGTTACACTTAAGCATATTCGTATTAAACGTTACACAAAATGCAGTCTTGACAGTCTCTTCTTGATCCTGTAAAGTGCACCGCCAAAATAAGTCATTTATATATTCAGTATTACATTTCATATAAAAGCTTCAATTACATTTCTTCTCACGTTGGAGTTTCCTACTGTGTCACTTATTTGATATCGTAATATATTGTCTTACCTGCATTTGGTCTCAATCATTTTGATATACATGATAATCACAGCTTCATTTTACTTTCCATATTTAATTATTTTGTCTGTTTTTCTTTCCTTTTATCTTCTTTGGGTCTTTTCCATTCCTGTGATGTCTTTTATATTCAAAACATTTATCAAAAAAAATTGATGTGATGTGCATTCTATAAAACTACAAAAATCTATATAAATATATATACACAGCAATACTTTGGTGTAGGATTGTACCAGTAATTAGATGTCATTGACAAGTTGGTTTTGGTGGTGCTGCTTTGTTTCTGTGGCAATGGGTACATTTGTTCACAGTAAGAACGAGGCTGCGGAATGGGACACAATCTGACAATTGAATTGAGCTAAAACAAAAGTTCATCCTCAAGTCGACCAACTGAGGCTGCCTTCTGTTTCCCACCTCCCCAAAACTCTGCTAACCCTCACTGTGTTTGTTGTATTTGCTCAATTTTATAGAAACATTTGCAATAAAATTCTAAAATATATAAATGTTTCCTTGTCGTTTTCATTATTAAAAGGATATTTTTCCGCCTCGCAAGTTACTTTCAACTGACCAAGTCATGGAAATCTACACCACCCCCCTAATATTACACCTCACATCTAGTTTGTCTGCCTTCATGAACTAATGTAATTAGCAGAAATGTAAAAAAACAATCAACCAACACGTGTATTGTGAGGCCCAGAGGGCTCTGACTACGTTTCCTAAAGGTTAATCACACTTATTTTCAAGTTTTCAACAGTTCTGTGGGTTCCAATAAACTATAGCAGCTTACTATTTAGCATTTCCCAATACATGGTATGTCAAATGCTGTATGACTAAAGTCCAATAATGTCCTCCTGCATCTATGGTCACCCTCCCTTTTAAACATCATTGTACATTGACATATGGCTCAATATAGTTTTAACTCAAAGCTCCAATTGAGCGTTCCGGGGAGAGACAAAGATCTGCTCGCTCTCTGCTCACTGATCAGTGCAGTTGTTGTTGCTCCTCCAGTGGCCCTGATTCCGCCTGAGCTGGCTGCAGTGGGTTTTTTTTAACAGTATTGCGATCAAACCGCTTCCTTATAAGGGTTGTTGGGGTTCTCCGTGAGGACAGTCGCCGTCTTTGATACGTTTTTTGTAAAGATGCTGCCTCAGAGGAAAGTTAATTTGTCTTGTGTGTTTTTTTTTCTTTCTAGTGCTGCGGAGGATTACCTCCCATTCTGTGTCCCTGAAGTTTTAGAGTCTCTAGGATATTTCACTCTGGTGTTCTCTTTTGCCTAAGTGTTTTTCCGTATGTGCTATAGTATTCATACAAGTTCATTAATGAGCTTTAATCATTAATCTGATTTACAAGTACATTACCACACCACAATTCAGAATGAATGAATTAAGCATTAATCCATTTGACTTTTTGCATAAATGTGCACTGTGCTCTGATTTATAAAGGTCATTTGTGTTGGTCAGTTAAGAAAAGTAACTTTAGAAATAAAAATAACATTTAGTCCACATCAGGGGTGAGATCCCTCATATGCTGCATGCATAATTCTCCAAAAATACCTGCATGCCTTAGAGATGAAAGAAATGATAACGCATAGTCACGTCTGTGCAGGCCTGTTAGTAGTAGGGCAGGAAAATGACCGGCTAAACTCCCGACACTACAAATTGAAAGGAGACGGAGCGCATAAGGAGGGTAGGATCTCGTTACGGTGCCGGAGTCTTCATTACTCACAGGCCTGTGTTCCAGCCACGAGGTTTATCTATGGGCCCAATAAGGAGGAGCGAAACATATTGTGGAGCAGATTGCAATCTGGGCTTCTTTGATTGGAGAAGAAGTTGTCAAGGGGGGGGGGGGGGGTGTAGCACAAAGCAGATCAACATTCCCATCACTATTTCTTCAAAGAGTGAGCTCGCTGCTGTATTTACTGCCTGTGCAGGATTGCAGCAGTATTCGTTGCTGCAAGAATCACTTTACGTTGTCTGGCAGCATAGTTTGGTAATGTGCTGCTGATGGTGTCGGCCACAGTTCCAGCTCTACAACCATCCAACCCCGTTTCCTACCAAAGATGTTGGTAGGTTGGTAGTTTTTATTTTTTGCAATCCACAAAGTATGACCATGGTTCTAACACTGTTGATACACGCTACATAGTAAAAGCAGCCAGTCAGCCGCCTCTGCCGCCAGTTCAACCCAACCAGTGTTAAAAATGCGGAGGGCCTGATGGGGTTCCGAACCACTGGTTTTACACATTTGGTTTTTAACTGCTCTGTAAAGACAAAGTACACCATGTGAGCCTTGTTTTGCCATATTTCTGAGCTCAATGAATGTAGGCTACATGTAAGTCAATCGGTATTATTATTACAGAAAGCTTTTAGCTGTTTTTGCTCCCCACTGTGCTCAGAAACAAGAATTTGTCTTTAAAATGTGCGTTCTCTTTTCTGTCACTCCCAATCACGCAGCTGTATTCTTTCTTTTTTTTCACTTCTCAAGTGTGAAGCTGCACCACGCAGCGTGACTCTGAGGTGACACCTGAGTAATCATCACAAGCAGAGTCACCTTGTCGCTGGGCTCGCATCCGGGACGGGACACTTATGGTGGTAAACAGACACCCCAACCGGGTCACCCGGTGACAAACCGCCCTCTGATTTTTCTTCCCTGTTAATAGATCAGTCCAGGCTGACGAAATGTTTGTGGTCGAATACTGAAATCCACTGTGGGTTCTTCCCGGCGTCTTTATTCAGCGGTGTGCCGCCCTCTCTCTTCTTCACTGGGGCTCCCTCCAGCTGTCCCTGCAGGTGTTTCTTTTTCGTGTCTCTTGTCTGTATTTCTTTGATGACTCTTGCAGTACGCCGGTGTACATTTTGGCCCTCTTTCAGTTCTTTGTCTTTGTTGTTCCGTGTCGCTGAGAGGTTTTGTTGATGTTTTTGTTGTTGAAGGCATTGAAGACAGAACACTCTGCTTTTCAAACAAATTGCATATATTTGGCAATCATGCAAAATATCACAACAGATATTCAACATTTCGCCATCAGTCCCAGTGCACGGCTGTATTCTGTCTTCAAACAAGTGCGTGCTATTCTGCCGTCTTATGCATGTTCATTCTCATCTCTTCGTATTCCTGACTTCCTCCCACATGAGGTCAAAGTTGAGTTAATCAACTAGAGTCATTAAGAATCTACATGCGGTGTAAAATAGCCATTTGAAGGGAGAAAATAAACATGATGAAAATCACTTATGAGATTTCGCCTGTTTCAGCCCAATTAACTAGGACGTAGTTGGGTTACATTCCCCAGCGGGGAACGTTTAAAAACAACAGAATGGGGAGAGAAATATGCTTTATTTTTTTCTTTTTGGATTTTAAACCTTCTGAAGCTGGTACTCAACTTGTCAAATGCTCTAAAATAAAAATAGAATGCTGTTTCAGTGATTATGGCTGCATATATATATATATATATATATATATATATATATATATATATATATATATTATAGCTGATTGGTCAAATTTAGCTTTTTTCAATTGAAGAGTGTGCGTGACAGTCCAAGAGAGGAACTGTGGTGTCTTTTTAGGGCTGTTGCAGTGCATAATAAATCCCCTGAGGGCTGAGCTACTAAGCAGAGTGACAACCGTAAAAGCGGTACAGTTGTATTTTGTTAGCGGCAACAGAAGTGAGCGCATCTGGCTTTGATCACCATGGTGACAATAGTGCAGAGAGTGGCAGGGCAAGCACAGCGATGGAGACGGATTCTCAGGGGAATCATTATCCTGTTTAGTAAGTCTAATGAGAGAAAAGGCGTTGCACCTCTGCTCACGGCTGTCCTTGTTCAAAACAGGAGTGTTAGAGGATACATGCATCGGCTTATGCAAGATGGAGGTAAAAGAAGCACACTGTGTGCCATTTAGCAGTACAAACCCATGCTATAACACACAGACGTCATTCACTCAGTGCTGTGACAGTAATGGATTGAATGTTAACACTTGCAACATGTCACAACGGAGTGTTGAAATGTGCTCCTATAAGTCGTATGCTAATAAGTAATAGCTAAGTAGCTAATAAGTAGTTGTTTTTTTTCTTCATCAAAATAATTTCATAGGCAAATAGGCTGCTTGATCGTAATCTGCCTACAGAAAGAACAGGCAAAACCACAGGGAGGTGGTGGAGACAAACTGAAACATTGACTATTTTCAGGCTTCAAATCAAACACCAATCAACAAGGACATTAGTTCTTATCGGCAGACAAGGTGTGAGGTGTAACATTGCATCTAGATGGACAATCAAAACTTCCGTTGGAGCCATCCGCGTGCATCATTTGGAAAGGGGCATTCAGGCTGTAGGAAGAGACGACTCCATGTTGTTTCTTTCTGTAGTGCCTGTGCCAGCTCGCCGTCGGTCCTGGCGTGCGACAACACCGAAGATTCAGCCTCAAAGAGCACAGTCTCTGGTTACAAGTGTGCCAAGGAACAGTGATGGCTCCAGGGAGGGAAGTCAGCTCGGCTGTCACAAACACATTAATCAGGATTGTACAGGTGTCTGGCAGCGTCAGGACAACCTGAACATCACTTATAAATCTAATCTCTCTATCGCTCATAAACATGTGGCTGCAAGGCCTTCTTTTTACATCAGTTTTTTTCTCTCTCTTAAAACATGTACACAAACTTTTGAGAATAAGTATAATGTGAATTCAACTAAATGTTATGAAAATGATATATAGATAGTTTTAAATAAGGCATTACCTGATATAAATGAACACCAAATGAAATGATGGTCCTGATCACGTAGTTTATAGGACTGTCAATAGATTTTTTTAAATTAACGTATTAATCGCACATTTTGAAATTCATTGATCTCGATTAATGGCGAATAATGAATAAATGTTGTTATGTTGTTTTTAAGGAATGTTTGTTTTTTCTTCTGAAGACTAGAGTAATGAGTAATCACTTTAGAAAATGTGTATTTCAGAAACTGTTGTTTAATTGTTAATGTTATTGTGAAAACAAAACTATACACACATTTGGGGGCAGAATTCCACCAGGTGCAACATGTTGAACTAGCAACTCTTCCAGCTAGCTTAGCCTAGCAGCTAGCTAAGTATAGCGGTGCTTTAAGTGGTCCTTTGCCACTCACCCCCCTTCTGTTTGACACGTGGATGAATTGCTCAGCACAGTTCTCCGCTGTATGTCGCGCCTTTGTTTTACTTCCAATAGAAAAGCGCTCTCTTGCTTTCTCTGATATAACTGACTGCAGCTAGCGGCCGTTTTGTTTCCGCGGTCAACTTCCGGTTTATGAAGTAAACAAAGGTATGTTACCAGAGTTAAAATATATTGTAGCAATAACCTTTGCTACATTAATCGCAATTGATTAACACGTTTTATGTTGACGAGCCTAATAGTTTCAGTTCTTGGTTTTCAAAGAGTGTCATGATGTCAATAGTTTGGGTTTGTGTCATCATTTTTTGTTAAATGATATGCTCCTCTTAAACTCCTTTGGAGCCTCATTAGCCCCTATGT